CTTGAGGTATGGTGTATTGAATTTCTTGAACAACTTCAAAATACCCGGGTATTTTTGCAGGCATGCAATTTCACGAGAATTATCACTTAAATACAAGTCAAGTTCTGCAGCAGCATCAACGTTGTCACGTGGTTCATTTGCAAACGAAAAAAATTCATCATCTGACACAGTACCTGACTCATGCTTGTCATCAGTATCAGGCTCAGTGACCTGCTGCTGCTGTTTAGCAGCCTGCAACTCGTCATACAGTAAACTACGAGCAATCTTTTTCCTGTCGTTATTGTCAATCCATCTCATACGAAACTGAGGCAATGTGACACTAGCTATGATCAAATCATGACGTTCATCATAACCTTGAAATCGCTTATCAAGGCCGGATAAAACAGCAGTAAGCAAAGGCGCTGCCAACTTCAAAGTTGGTTTTACTGTTAGTAACTTTGTTCGCAATGACATTAACGTTGGCAACAAAAACCCAATAAAACACTTCGTTTCTGCTTGGAGTATGTCCAATGCAGCTGCCATTGGTTGCATAACACAACAATACTCTTTCAAGAAAAGGATGTCATTGGGACGAAATTGTGGGACCTCAAGAGCTACAAAAACTTCAGCAATATTGTCCTCAGATTGTTTTTCAAGGACCTGTCTTACTTTGTCAACTGCATTAAAGTACGAGTTCCAACGTGTAGCATTAGGCACAATGAAGAAAGTGTGAAACTTATCACGCACAATATCTGCAAATTGTGTGCTACGTGAAGTCTTGTTCCACAATGCAGAACACTTGACCATTGTTGACCGAGAGAGTTTTTTGTAAACAGCATCACTATTTGCACTTTCTATATCATGACTAGCAATCAAATTCAATGTGTGAGCAGCACAACGCTGATGAAGGGGTAAATATAAGTCACTGTCCTCATCATGCTCTGGTTCACTTAGCAATGCATCAACATCAACAAAAGCAACATTGTTATCATCATCATCACTAACTACACTACCATCATTTGCAAACTCTTTAAATGCTTTAACAAAGTTCGAACCATTGTCAGTTACTGTCATCAGTACTTTGTGGTTAATACGATACGCCGTATGTACAGCATTTAACCTAACAGCAATGCAATCATACGTGTGACGCCCTTTCATGCGCTCACAGCACAAAGCCGCTGAACGTCTTTCCAGAGTATCAGGATCAATCCAGTGCGCTGTGATGCCTAGAAAGCTCCTGTTGTTGGATGACCAGATATCCGCTGTTGTGCACACATGATCGACTTTGCTGAGCGCTGCACAGATGCTTTCCTTCATCGTGTCCGCGAGTTTGTCCAACTTATCTGTAAACAGAAAGACGCGTGTTGCAAATTTAGTAGGGTCTTAAGGATTGTATTTACTTTTATTTGACATCG